CTGGTGTGTCACCTAGTCTTAATTATCTTTTTGTACACTTTGTTATTACCATCTTTCTCTTTATCCAGTCTTTTGGTTGCCTTAGTAGCTTTTTCATTCTAGCGTTTTATACTTTGTCCCACCCTCTTTTGGGAAAGATTATTTCCCCCCTCCCCTCTTCAGTGCAGAAGTATTAAATAAGTTTTCACCTTGGAAAGGGGTCATTCAGACCTCCATATTTTCCTGGTGCTTTTTGGACAGTTCACTTGTTCTGTTATAACACTGGGCTACATGTGGACTAGCATGGGGTGCATTCCTACTTGGTACTAACTATTTTATGTGTCTTCATGATGTTCAGGAGGGGGTATGATCACAGTGTCCTATCTTGAACTGGAGCATCTTAATAGGTTTTTGGAAGTGTAAAACAAGTACAGTTGGCTACTTGCTCTTCGTCATCTTTAAGAACTGGTTTGTTTTCTTCTATCTGTTAGGGTTGAATTGAACGATAAGCTTGGTCCCTCTTGGGGGAACAACTGCCTGTTTCTTTTTAAAGCCACACACACACAAAAAAGTTCTCCTCAGCATGTTTGCCCAATATGAGCAATGTATTTTATAGTCATGCTTGGTGTTGGCTGCATTTAATCAAGTTGATAGCTGGTTTCCATTACTGAGTGAAAGCAGGGGTCCCTGAATCAATCAAAAGACAGCACACTTCGGCTGAGCTTCTCTCCACTGTGTTTGTTCTCACCTGCCATGACTTGATGGGAGTTAAGGTTAAGACTCACAGGTGGGTAGCTTCCAGTTTAGTTAACACCAAATGTGACACTGTCCCTTATGGGATTTGGGGTCCTCACCCTGCACACCTCCTCCCCCTCCCTCTTAAAGAATGAACTGTAAACCAGGTGGCTAATTGCTGGGTAATGGCTTTTAATTTACTCTTTTCTCCCCATCTGGAGAGACATGTCTTTCAGCCTGACAAAATTACTTAATCAGTCCACAAACATTCTTTTCCCAATGCCTATCAACAAAAAAGTCTGTAATCAATATTGGGTGCCTGTCCTGCAGAGTTTCCAGTAGGCTCCACTCACAGTGCTCCAGGCTGATTCAACTGCTGCTGCCCTTGGGGAATGCTACCCCTTTCACACCCATGCCTCCAGACAGGAATTGGCTCTGTCGCTCAAACTTCCTCTCTCAGCTTTAGCTCCTCTCCCCTTCTAGGACAAAGCCACTAGTTAAGTCCTGCTCCTCTTATAAGAGCTCACTAATTAGTAATTTACATTTTTTCTTGTCTCTGATGCAACGAGTGTTCCCAGCACCGGCAGAATGACATCATCTCACCAGCTGGTCCCGCCGCATGCCTGGCAAGTTTCTCGCTCTCTTTTCTCCTTTGTAACAGGGTCACCAGCTCCCTGTTACACTGAGCACATGCTGCTTTTAGCAGCAGTTCAAAGAAAAACAGCATATTTAATGCAATTTCTTTGTATGTGTGGGACAGGCGGCCTTGTCTTGCATTTGAGTAAATATGGTAGATAGAAGGCTACTAGAGAAATGCAAAATGCTGTTCCACAAGTGGCACATAACAATAATCTGCTATATTTATAAAGCCTATTTAAATCAGTGGGATAATTCTCTCAAATACACAGGCAAAATGCTGTCAGCAATGTGAATTAACTCATTAAATTTGAAAAATTGTTACTTTTGGATAGTTATGTTTGATAACATTTTTGGAAATTTTATTGAAGTTGGCTTAAAAGAATGATTGTTATATTTTAGTAAGAAAATATTACTGTGAAATATTTTTAAAATAAAGTAGTTTTTTTTGGCAAAGATGTTGCTGTAATTCATGCTTTAAAAACCAAGTCACTTAAAAATTGGGAGAAAAAATCATTTTATCTGTGAGAAAATACTGAACTTTCTTATACAGTTCAAACAGTACATTCACAGATGACTTAATTATATATTACATTTGGTATTTACTTTTTGAGAATTAAATTGTTCCCAACAGAATATGGGAGTATATTATAAATGCTGAGAAAACTTGTGTTTAGGTCTGAGTCATCGTCTTTGCTTTGCGAAGTAGCATAAATACTGAACAAGTGTGATGTCAGTATAACACTTAATTTTCTCCTCAATCCACTGAACTGAGTGAGTACCAGCACTGGAAAAACAAACTCCTTGCAAAGCATATTGCTGCTTTTGGCCTTCTCCTTTGGTAGGTTTGGGGTAGGACAGCATGTGCTTTCTCTGTAAATCTTTGACTTGTTTTCTTACTGTGTGTTTCCACCATGCTATTAGGAAAAATACCAATTAAAAATAATGTCGTATTTTGAAGAAAGTAGAAGTGGTAGAACTTTAAAACTTTTTAAATTAAGCAATTTAGTCTAACCTTGCCTTCTGCCCTTTCTTCCTGTTATTGAACAGTGGCTGCATCTACATATGTACTTTATGTGCAGTAGACTAATTAGCTGTGGAGTAAAGCATCACTATCTACATGTGCAATGGTATTAGGCCACAGTAAACTAATTATCACTGCCATAAGATAGTACTGTCAGAGTAATTTATTGCAATTAAACACGCATGTCGATGCTGACCTCAGACAAATTGTACCTGATTAGTCCAGGCAGCAAGGATCCAGACTCCTGCTTGCTGCCTAGGCCATGGCTCTGCACTTTCAGCACCCTCATGCCACAGTAAGCCTCTCTGCTGCCAAACACCACAAACTGGAGCCCATGGCAAAGCAAGGCAGGAGCAGCCCTGACATATATTGCTTCACCCTGGCTCAGATTGCCACTGTCCCAGGTGCATGTGTAGACACACCCAGTGTTATTCTGGAGTGAATGTATTTTACTGAGACTAGTGCTCTCAGGGTGAGGGGTGAGTTGTAGTAAGCAGTTTTTTGTGAACTTAGTTTAAACTCATTAGCCAATACAATATATATTGTACCTCGGGGTTGTAAATCTGTGAATCTGTCTGAAGTGAATTTGGAACAAAAAAAGGTTAAAAGACCTTCTGTAAATTTTGTGGGCATGCCAAGAGTTGTTCCTCATGCCCTATGCTGAATTGTAATTGTGACTCTTCTTCTTCCCTTCCCCACCCAAAGACAAACAAAACAGAAATAGCATTCATCAGTTTGTAAGCAGAAGATGTCAAAAAGTCCATCTGTGCTGTCAGTCCCCTATATTACTCCACAGCTTGGTCTTTCCTATATCATCAGAATCAGGTTGTCACATATCAGTGTTCCAAAACAGTATTTCAGCCCTGTAGGAAGCATGGTGTAGTGCCATCTACAAAGGCAAGACCAATGCATAACGTACTGTATAGCTTTATTGTTTGTTTTAAATAGGCCCTTAGAATTACATTAGAAAATGGACAAGGCTAAGAACAACATTTTTTTGAATCATGTTGACTTGTGGGCCATACATCATTAAAACACATTAAAGAAAAATATATTTGCTCCAAGGAAAAAAATGCAAAATAAATAGAAAAGAGAATACCCCAACTGTAATGTAAGTGGAAAACAGAACGTGGCACTTGCAAAGCCTCAACCTCTTCTATAAAATTCCTTTAATAGCAACAGATGCTGCAATTAAAATCCCTCAGTCAGTGATTCAGAGTGTTATACTCAAGCAATATAAATATTATAAACCGGTCCACATTATTTGGAGGGTGTTGCAGGGTACTAAAGTGTCTGCTCCTTTAAGAGCACAAACTGCCTAGGGAGAGGGCCCTGAGAGCCAGACAGAAACCCCACAGGTGAAGGTTACTATAGCAGCAGGCTAACAAGGGAATTAGCCTGCACCTGCACTCAGTCAGCTGACCCAAAGAAGGCAGGGCCCTGGGCACATATAAACCCCAAGGCTGAGACCAGCAGGGGTTAGTTCTCTGGTAGCAGCCAGGGAAAGGAGTCTCTAGGGAAGAATTGCCCAGAAACACTGGTGGCTGCCTGATATGCTGCATATAGGCCTAATGTCTACCAGGAGCTCACCAGGTACCCTGGCCTACAAGGCACTTAGTGCTGGGGGGAAGTTTGACTCTTTTAAAGAGACAGAGCACACCCTGAACTGTTTGTATCATATTATAGCCCAGGGGCTCATATTTTGGTTGCTGTTTATAAACTGGGGGATCAGGCTGGTGCTATTGGGGAAGGAAGAGGCCTCATTGGAGGCCCACTACAGTGTGGGGATCTCAGCACCAGGGGGCATGGTGACAAAGGGGGTGAGCAGGGCCCAGTGCCAGTGTGGGTGCAGAGACAGGGCTGTGGAGGGCCCAGTGCCAGTGTGGGTGCAGAGACAGAGCTATGGAGAGCCTGATGATGACAGGAGGCTGAACTAGACTACGGTCTCAGAGAGGTAACATGTAATTACCATATGTGAGGCTTGGGGTGTGGTAAAGGGGTGGTTTTGGAGCCACACATCTAGCCCATAAGGCTGAGGATGCCTGTGAGGCATCCATTTTAAGCGAGACCCAAAAAGGGGTCCAACAACCCACAGGGTTTAGCAGGGTCCATCAGGACCGTGTCCAAACCAAAACTCGAGGGCAGCCTCCCTATATTATAATTACCAGCAAGACATGGCAGGAAAGGAAAAGGGTGCCCGTTAGGCAAGACTGGCATGGTCACGGAGCCCTAGGAGCATCATGGCCATCCCTGGGGACCCCATCCTGTGACAGAGGGAAATGCTCCAAATGGTAAAAGTCAGAGCAGGTTAGAAGTTATTTTTTTCAGGAAAATGACTTTTTGTGTTCTCTTACTTGAAAATTTGTGAGAAGTCTTGGGTACAGATAAGAATAAGAAAAAATTCTGGAATCTCAAAAATATTTGTGAAATGGATTAAAATGTCTTGCCTAGTTGCAGTAAAAATAAGAATGTTCACCCTCAGCAACTTACTGAACACTGTAGCCATTAAATAGGTGTTGCATGGCACCTAATCATTTCACAATGACTAGAAGTATTATCTACAGGATAACAGCCTGAGAAAAGCCAAGCAGAAATATTTAAAATATGCTTTGTCTTTTACAAACAGTGGTGTAAAATACAGTTTGCTGGAACATACCACTTTGGGGTTGGACAGTGCTGAGGATAGTTTCAAGACCCACAGCCTCACCTTTTCAGGAAATGGTAAGTACTACAGGGCACCAATTTAAGGAAGGAAAAGATACAGTGAAATTAAAAAGCTTATAAAAAAATTGTAAGTGCTTATTTTTTTTCTTGCTACTTGAGCTAATGGAGAAGTGGTTCAAACCTCTACTAGGTCATTTTAGGCCCAATTGTAGATCTTCTTAGTCCCAGGCTTGTTGCCAAGTAGATTCCAGATTTGAGAGAGCACAAGAAACTGTATGAAGCAACAGCAGACCTAGAGCATGAACAGGTATTACGTTTGTGCTGAGAGAAAAGGAGCGCATGGGGTGGAAAGCCCTCCCAGAGCCATGGGACAATTCCAGCCCTGGCAGAATGATCCCCACTCTGCACTCCTCCAGGTGACCCAGAGGGTGACCCCCATCAGTGCCGGGGGCAAGAAGCATACAGGGTGAGGACAGCAGTTCTTTGTACTCTCCTCAGGCAAGGAACTGTGGCAGCTGCTGCTTTTCAACAGCTGCCTATTTCACAGTCTGCTTCTAACGTAAGCGGAGGTGCTTTTCTTCAATTTTTTTTCTATTCTTTTTCTGGGTGGCTTTTTTTTAAGTGATGGTGCCTGGGGTTGTGGGGGGGAGTGGGGGTAGGGCAGCCATTAGGGGGGCT